TTACTCCCATAGAAGTTTATCTTGGAAACTCACAGGGACAGTTCTACCCTGTCCTACAGCATCACTACGAGTCAGAATTTTGCTGTTGTGCTGTTAACAACACTCAATGACAGTGAGCTTTTTGTAATACTTTGGAATCTACTGACAGAAGATAGCATCCTGCCAGATGCAAATTGGTGAGCCTCTGCCAGGGGCACAGTATCTTTATATAAAGAATTTAAAAACAGAAAATGTAGGAAGAACTTAATTTATCTAGCAAACACTGAAAGGCCAGTCACGACCCATCTGGCGTCTTGTTGTGTGCCTTACAACTGTTAACTTATCTGATACTTCATAGTCCTGTCAGGTGGTACTATTAGTGTGCCCTCAAACATAAGGTGCTTGAGGCAGAAGAGGCTCAGCCAGTGTCACAAGTAAAAGAAGTAGTGAGCGGTGATAAAGAGCTTCAGGCTGCTCACTGACCTTTCTACTAGTATGGTAGACAGGGAAGCCCCTGTCCAAGGGCCAAGCATCTTCAAAGCTCTATGTGAAATGCAGGGGTGAGAAGGGAGGTTTAAGAGGTGACTCTGTGGGAATAACCCAGTCGTAGGCAAGCCATGCTGTCACTGGCAGCCCTGGTCCAGTATTCTTTAACCCCACTGGAAAGTTCTTCCTGTGACTTAGTAGCACAGTGACCTACTAAGATCTTGCCAAGTGATACACAAGGACACACTAGAGAAGTCTGTCGTCTTTTGTCCTCCGCAATGGGAGACAAGTTGAGATCTGGTAAATCTGTAAAGAAAACTCACGAGGGACTAGAAGAGAGGAGCTCTGTTTGTTGTTTGCTTCTGGTCATTGGGCTGAGGATTTCCTCTGTCTTTCCAGATGGATTTCCCTAACCGAAGTAAAGGAGACGGAAATAATTCACATACTCTACAGTTTGGTGCTCTACAATGCCACCACAAGAGCAGATATGGGGTGTGCTAAAAAGGGGCAGAAAAGCCACACTCTCACATCAGCTGGTTGCACCTCGGTTTCCAGAGGCCATGTTCCTGAAAAATCCTAAGTCAAACCATATTTACCATGAGTCTGGGGAAGTAGCTCTTGAAGTGGAGACTCTGTCGAAACCTTTGCAGATTGACTTCGTCCTTTTGCAAACATGACCTGATATGTTCAAGTTTTGGATACATAGTTTACTAAGTGCATTTGAAGTCAGATGTTCCCTTCAATGCTTGATCTATTTGAGGCTCATAAATAGAAATAGCCGGAAAGATAACAATGCATTTATCAAAACTTGATCTCATAAAATACCAAAGTATCCTTGCTTTTCATATAGAAATGCTTATGTCCTAAGCACCTCTTGAACCATCAGGAAGGAATAATGTCCTATTTGCTCCTCCAGATTGTATTAACTCATGTCTCTGGTGATTGAGCTGTGTTAACTATCATTATCTTGTTGTGTTTATATATACATGTATATGTGTGTATCCTGGCCCCTCCAAACTTAAAAATCAATGTATGGAGGTAGACCTGTTTGGGAACTCTTTCCCGTTCCACATACAAATTTTCCTGATAAGGGGAGAATGCTACAATGGAACTCCTAACTGCAGCTTTAACTTTAAGACACACTCTCTGGAATGAATAGTGACCCACCTATCTTTGCATCCAGGAAGAAGAAAGGCCGGCATTGCTGTATTAGTTAGCCTGATTTGAAGGTGACCCACTTGAACCAGGGAGAGATTTGGGAATATAATTATTTTATTTACTCATACAGGAGATATATAATAAATCACTCTTCTAGTGTATTAAGCTATAACCCTGGCTTCAGTGCTGCAAGCTGGGTGTATTTTCTGTAATGAGCTAAGTTCTTCCAGCCCAAAGCAGTCCTGCGTTCTCCTTTCAAAACATACCTCTAATTAGATGTTTCAAACATCATCAGTGATTGGACCAAAAGCAGATAAGTAGCATTGGTAGTTTTTATCTTCCTTGTGGTTTTAGTTTAAAAATAATCCAAATATTTGTTTGAAAACATTTTTTTCATTGACTTAGGATAGATTTAAGGTAGGGATAAAGGAAGGGAAAGAGCTGTATTAAACACAGATTGGAACCCCAACTACACCTCTTCATTAGGAGAGCAGTCCCCATCTCTCAGACTTCTTGTATATCAAATGAAATCATGGTAGATGAAATATTTAGTATGCCTCCCCCAAACTCCATCATAGATGCACAGTAAATGGCAGCAAGTAACATGTATGATGTCTATTTTCTTTTCTTAAACATTAATTTTTAACTTTTGATTATGAAATTGGATGAAGGTTTATGGAATTGATCATCATTTTGAGATTTACCAGTTCATGTACAGTTTGTTTCAACTCATCCATTACGGTCCTTCAATGTACCACCACGGATCCCACTTCCTCCCTGGCTTTCCAGGTTCCATCGTACCTCTTCCCAATCCTCTGTACATTGTCCTGGAGTAGATGCTGCCCTTTTGATCTTTAAGGGTTGATTATTCCGATCAGTTCCAGATCTGAAGAGTGACCAAGGGGCATAGTCTTGGGGGTTCCACCAGTCTCTCTGACTAATAAGCCTTTTGATCTCCTTTATGAGTTGTGGTTTTGTTCAACATTTTTCTTCCATTCTATGTAAGATTATCTAATGTCCTTTTTAGTGAAGCTGGTCATGGTAGCTTGACATAATCTAGTTATTTCGGTCCTAGGGCTGTGGAGGCTTATATTTGCCTAGTATATTTGTATGTTGGACACAGTGTTTCCATATATCTTTTGATTTTAGACATCCCATTCCCCTGAAAGGAATGACCAGTAGTTTCACATTAGGTAGCTGCTCTTAAGCTTTTAAGATCCCAAAAGCGACTTATCAAAGGAGGACGTCTAACACTGTGTTTGTGAACTCTGTTATGCGGTTTCACCTTGGTGTTCCTAGAGACTGTGATCCTGATGCCCTACATCCAATGTAAGTCTGTTTTCTATCATGGGTGACTCTGAGTGCCTGCGTATGTCATTGGTCATGTGAAGATGATTTATAATCAAGAGCTTGACAAATAAGAATTCACAGTAGTTATTTACCAGTGTACCTGTATGCAGTTCTTGGGAGTATCAAAACTATTCAGACCACACGAAAAAACTCAGAGTTCCACAGAACAAACCTACTGGGTTCTCAGACCTCAGGCTGATTACCTGCCTTCAAAAAGAAACAGAATGTTGTTACTGACTTCCTGATCGGAGTGAACATTGTCATGCGGATGATCTGTAGAACAATCAGAGCAGTACTGATACTCGTGCTTTCTGGGTGCCATGGAGTCTGCTCATATTTAGAGCGACTCCGTGAAATACTGCCTGGCTCTGTTCCGTCTTCATGATCATTGCTATCTTGTGTCTATTTTTGCGGCCACTGTATTTTGAGTGTCTTCAAACCTAGGGAGCTCATCTTCTAGTGTTATCATGGACAGTATTCTATCCTGAGTCATACCTTTTTATTGGTTAAATTTTGGAATAGACCATCAGGCCATTAGTTTGGAAGCTCTGCTGACATATTTCCACATTGAGTGGCATTGCTGGTATTTGAAATATGCTTCCAGAATCACAGAACATACAAGCCGCCACATTATAGCAAACTGAAGGTGGATGGTGGGTTGATAGTCTTTATTTGTGAGCAATAGAAAAACTAGAATAGTTTGGAGATTCAGGGTTCAAGCCTTCCATTTTTTGCTTTACTGTTAGGTGCTAGGAAGTTGAGCAACACTTAGCTGCTCAGGGTTGGTGATTAACTATATAGAGCCCTGGTGGCACAGTGGGGTATGATTTGGCTGCTAACCAGAGGTCAGAAGTTTGAAGCCACTAGCTGCTCTGCCAATGAAAGATGAGGCTTTCTACTCCCATAAATGTTTACAGTTTCCGAAAACTCCCAAGGCAGTGCTGCTGTGCCCTGTAGTGCCAGTAAGAGTCAGAATCAACTTGATGGCAGGGAGTTCGCTTGTTCATGTGTGAGCTACGGATCTTCAGACAGCCAAGTGGTGGAAACTGGGGAACATGATAATGACCTGAAATAATTGCTGCATGAATGAATTGCCAAGAAGTAGATCAGAGAAAAGGATCTACAATGAGGCATTGTAAAGTTGGTGGAGAAGTTGCATTATATTTTAATTCCATTTTTTCACAAACTTTTTGAAGTCTGCTTGTTGCCTTAATGCGAAATGTTCTCCAAACTCCTCAGGAAGTTAGTAAGAAATGGGAAGTCAGTTGTAAATATAAAAACATCCACCCAGATAAATGTAAATGAAGTTGTAAATGAAAATAATTTGTTCGTGAGGAATAGTCGGAAGAGCCCTTGTGGTGCAATGGTTAAGCATTCAGTTGTGAACTAGCCATCCACAGGTGAAAGATGAGGCATTCTGCTTCTGAAATATGTATAACCTTTGGAAACATCAGGGAGGTAGTGTCTCCGCTAGGTCCCTATGTGTCAGAAGCAACTTGATGGCTCTGATTTTGTTTTGCTTTAGAACAGTGTACATGGTTACTCTCTTCACAGCCATAATTGTCTGAGATGGAAAACATGAATCTTTTTGACATTCAAGAAAGTAGCTGCCTTGGATATTTTGTCTGGTGAAAAAAAATGGCTTTACTTTTTAGCTAAAAGGAAAACTATCCATTTCTTCAACAAAAATGACAGTATATAAATTAAATTATAGGAATAACTGGAAAACTAGTGTCTTGGGTCCATGAGAAATATAATTTGTACAATGATCTCAGACGATACAATCCAACATGTTCATGGATTTAACTGTGATTTTGTTCCCACCTATTATGCTTTTAATGTATAAGTTGCTCCTTACGTAGTACTGTTTATTAATGTTGAAAATGTTTTAATAGTTCTGTGCAATTCATGCCTAAGGAATTGACAGAATGCTGTTTTCTTCACAGGCACAACTATACTCATGGACTGAGACAAAACGAAGTGCAGTCATTGATGGTAGCTTGTTCATTTCTTTTCTCTTTTTGCAGCCATGCAATGATAGACCTATTGGTTGAACTCTGTCTTCAGAACCACCTGAATCCATCCCACCATGCCCTTGAGATCCGGTCTTTGGAAACCCAACAACCTTTGAGTTTTAAGCCAAATACGTTGGTTGGGGCCCTAAATGTGCACACAGTGTTTCTGAAAGAAAAAGTTCCCGAAGAGAAGGCTAAACCTGGGCCACCGAAGGTGCCTGAGGTCAGTAGTAGGCAGGAACCCTTATGAATTCATACGTGAGTACTAGTAGTTGGGGAGTTGGGGTGCGGAATAGGGGTGGGTGATGCATGTAATCTAAGTACTATCTTCAGACAACTGTACTTGAGGTTTATATGTCTGTGCTATGCAAAGCTAGTTGTTATATTGAACTTATTTTTGGATACATATGATTGTTGTAAAAAAGCGATGTTTGTGGAGCTAGAGAAAGTGAATCTTTAATTAATTTAAATTCCAATAGCAATAATTAGTCAGTGTTGACACTATTAGACAGTGCAGTTCTGAAAGTCTTCATGTCACAGGAAGCAGTTGGATAGATAGAGGGTTGGATTATCGTCCTAGAGAGAGAACACAGAAAAAATGAAATCTCCTTATTAAAATATATGTCTAAAATATTTCCTTGTTGCAGTTGAAGAATACTTAACATGTATCTACTTTAATTGCAGACTTTTGTATCTCACTTGAAATTCACTCCAGCTGCTAATTGGACTTTTACAAAAGCCATCATAGGGATCTTTAAACTCCAATTTAAAGGAGTGTTACTGCATTCTTGTGTGTGTGATTACATTCTTGTAACTAACTGGATTTGCTCAATGTGCTTGCTTCTAAGAAAGGTAGTGTTGCCCACTGTCTGTCTTCTGTGGCTGTGCTGGGTTTGGAGCCACGTTAGACAACAATAGACTTTATTCGGTGCCCTGCTGTATTCTGTCAGGAGGTGTTTTCCCCCTAATTCCTGTAGTAAAATTAGTATTCAAGGAAAAGGAACCATAGTTCTAAATGGTGGCCTTTCCTACTTCTGTAGTGTGCCCCGCACAAAGCTCAGAAGCAGTGGAGCCAAGCTGAGTGCATGACTCCCTTGGAGAAGCAGGGTAAAGAATTGCTTCTTGTGGTTCCTCATCGGGGGCCTAGCAAGCCCAGAACTCAAGAACAGAAGGAAACATGGGTCAATACATTTGTGCTGTGTTTACCTCTCTAGGATGTTAGTATAAGGTGGGTGACCATAAACAGAAAAACAGAGTGGACTGGAGGCAGCTTCGGCATATTACCTATTTTTGATAGGCAACATTATCTGTACTCATTCAGAGTCAACACTGTGATTGTTGGGGGTGCCATTGAGTCGATCCCGACACACAGCGGCCCTGTGCACAGCAGCATGGAACCCTGCGCGGCCCTCGCCATCCGCGCAGTCGTCTCGCCCTCAGCCCATTGTTGCAGCGATAGGCCATCCGTTACGTCGAGGGCCTTCTTTTTCGCTCTGCTCCTTCACTTCCCCAAGCACGACGTCGTCCTTTTCCAGGGACTGCTCTCTCCTGACAGTCTGTCCAAAGTCTGGAAGACAAGACGAAGCCTTGCCATTCTTGCCGCCCAGGAGCACTCGAGCCCTACTTCTTCCAAGACCGGCCAGTTTGCCCTTGTAGCATCCCACGGTACTTTCAATATTCCTCTCCAGCGCCACAACGCAAATGCGAAGGTTCTTCTTCGGTATTCCTTATTCAGTTCCCAATTTTCACATTCACATGAGGCAGCTGTATTGTGAAATTTGGACAGGAGCACCCTAGTCCTCAAAGTAATATTCTTGCTTTTCAATCCTCTAAAGAGGGCTGTGCAGCAGATTTACTTAATGCAACGAATGATCTCTTGCCTGCTGCTTCCAGGAGCATTGATTGTGGATCTGAGCAAGAAAAAATCCTTGACAACTTCAACCTTTTCTCCATTTATTATGATGTTACCTTTTGGTCCAGTTGTGAGAATTCAGGTCTTCTTTGTTAATTATTGTTAATCATTTCGTTGGGGGACACTTACAAATCTTATGACAATCCATCATTCAATTGTTGTAAGCACAATTGGGCATATGTTGCCATCAACATTTCCAAAATAGTTCTTTCTCTTTGAGTCCTAATTCACACTGAGGGCTGCAGTCCTTGATCTTCAGCAGTAAGGGCTTCCGGTCCTCCTCACTTTCAGCCAGCAAGGTTGTGGGCCTTCCGCCCATCAACTCTAGTTTAAAAAATTGCTTTCTCGTTATTATATGATTCTTTTTTTAATCTTGTATTTTTCTAGCTTAAAATTGTGTATGTTATATATCTAAATGTGTTTGTTTGCACACATAAGTATGCACTCTAAATGTGTATATATACACATGTTGAGATATTTTTATATTTATCTAGATATTTTGGCTTCTTAAAAATTTGTTGATTTCTTATTTGGTAAGGGTGTTTTGTTGTTGTTGTTGTTATTTGTTTGCTTTTTTAATACAAATGACCAACCAGCATGTGAAAAATACTTAAGGTCATCAGCTCTGAAGGAGATGCAAATCAAAGCCATGGAATATCTTTTCACGGTCACTGAAATGACTATGATAAAAAAAAAAGATAACAAGTATTGGGAAGTCTTTTCTGATGGTGTGGTAAAATAGTATAACTACTTTGAAAAACAGTTAAAATGGTATAACTACTCTGAAAAACCAATAGTTTGGTGGTATCTTCAAAAAGTTAAACATAAATTGTACGAGCCCCCAAGAAAATGATTTTTAAAAAGTTGAACATAAAATAATCATATTCTCTGGTAATCCTGGCTATCTACTCAAAATAATTGAATGCAGGAATGCTAATAATAATAATACACTTGTATCCTAGTGTGGATTATAGCAATATTCGCAATAACCAAATGGTGGAAACCGCTTAATTTTCCATTAATAGATGAATGGATTAAAAAGTGTTAAATATATAAAATGGAGTATAACCCACAAAGATAAATGAAGTTTTGATACACACTGCAACATGGACGGACCTTGAAAGAAACTAGGTTGAGTGAAAGAAGTCAGTCACAAAGGGCTGAATACATGATGCCACTTAGGAGAAATACCTAGGATGGGCTAGTGTATATATAACAAAACCAAACTCTTTGTTATCCAGTCAGTGCTGACTCATAGTGAGATTATAACCACTTATGGGAGTAGAAAGCCCAGTTTTTCTCCCATGGAGCTGCTGGTGGTTTCAAACTGCCAACCATGCAGATTGCAGTCCAATGTATAACCACTACACCACAAGAGCTCCTTAGTATATAGATAATAAAGCTTATTAGTGTTACCAGGGCCATATGGGAGGTAGGGGAGAAAGGAAGTCTCACTACTTAAGGAGATGTAAATCATCAGCTAAGGATTATGGGAAAATTTGAGAATAGATCATATTAATGGTAGAACCACATAATAAGCATAACTACTGTCACGGACTTGTGCATGTGGAAAATGCTGAAAAAGCAAACTGCTACAGACTTGCCAAATAAAAAAAATTTAAAAACTGACAATATTTTATGTAATATCTGATCAGAATCTTTGAAAGATGGTTTACATATCCCTTTAAATTTTTGCGCCCTTCAATGATGTCTGATTCCCTGTGTCGCTCACAGTCTGTTGATTAGTAATAAAGATTCTTGGGTACATTTATTACTTCAAGTATTTGTTTTTCCCTCTGTATGGTGCCCTATGACTCACTGGACTTGTGGAAGGAAGATTCTGGTTGCACAAAATCTAGCCTTACTCAGTCATCTTATTAAAACAGAGGTTAACGCTGTTGGGGAAGATACACTTACCGAATCATCTTTGTTTGTTCGGCTCTTTCAGAAATCTGTGCGCTTGGTAGTGAATTACCTGCGAACACAAAAAGCTGTTGTGCGCGTGAGCCCTGAGGTACCTCTCCAGAATATTCTTCCTGTTATTTGTGCAAAATGTGAAGTAAGCCCAGAGCATGTCATTCTCCTCCGGGATAACATTGCGGGGGAAGAGCTGGAACTTTCCAAGTCCCTGAATGAGTTGGGAATAAAGGAGCTCTACGCCTGGGACAATAAGAGAGGTAAGACTGTGCCATGGACAGCCTCTGCCGTTAGAGCGTGGAGAAGCATGCCTAGGTGACCTGTCAAGTCTCCTCCCAACTGCCTGTCGTGCTAAGTCGAGTTGTGCACATTAAGTTGCCAGGCATTCCAATTGTGTCCAGAGTAGAGCCGAAGTTGGCAAAAATTAAAATAGGCTTGTTTTAATTCTTCATCAATTATGAGTGCACCTCTTTCATCCCAGCCCTGAATGAGCCTTTAAATTGTCTCTTTGTGATCCTTGGCGAGCTCAATGACAGAGGGAGAAGTGGTAAGAAGAAGACTGGAGCGTGTAGAAGAACTGCTCAAAAACCACATACACTCTTCGCTTAGCTTTCTGCAGTTGCCATTAACTAAACGATTCTGGTTTCACTCGTGGCTCGTATCTAAATCAAGTGGTAAAAATGCATTTAGCTCTCTCTACAACCACACCAAACTCACTGCCCTCAAGTTGATTCTAGTCATAGCAACCCCATTGGACAGAGAAGAATGGCTCTTATGGGTTTCTGAGTTTTAAATCATTATGGGATGAGAAAGCCTCATCTTTCTCCAGAGGAGTGGCTGGTGGTTTTGAACTTCTAAATTGGAGGTTAGCAGCCCAACTCAGAACCACTGTGCCATCAAACTAGTAAAATGAAAGACATTCCAGTACCTTGTTTCCCCATTGTTGTTGCTGCAGCCGTCGTATTCTTTGTGTAAAGAATTAATGTCATTAAGGTCACAGTCACAATCACAGTTAAGAGCAGCAGGTCTCAGAAAGTGAATATTTCTATTAAAATTGATCTATTCTGTAAGCAATTTTGTCTTATTGATAAAAGCAATCATGTATATATTTAAACAACTACCAAACCAAAAATGTAATGTTCTTGGACCTTAAAAATATTAAAGTAGAAATTTTTTGATTTGTATTTACATGATATTAAGATCTTCAGTGGAAAAATCTTCAGTTGATATCTGTTGATTTGCTTCTATTTGCTTTTAAAGTATATACCTTATCAAGGTTTTTCAACATCAGTTTCCCAAATTATTCTAATTTTAAAAAATATTTCTCTAGCATCAAGTCTAAAGATTTTCAAATGTTTGAAACAGAATATCATGAAACTATAGTTTTCTTATTATCTTGCCTGTTCAACCTATTCCCTGCCCTCCACCCATCCATGTCAACCCATCGCATCCCAATGCAGTCCGCTTCTTCTGGATACTTTGGGTCTCGGAGATCATTTGATAATCAAAAGAGGGATTTAGCTCAATTAGTTATAAGGCATATAGACTACCTATTCCTTAGGAACAAGCAACTGCTCAGACATTTGAAAACAATATACCCTGTGTTTTCACCATACCTTTTAAGATTCAGACAAGGATAACCTCAGTCTTGCCCACGCTGGCCTGGTTGTAACTGGATGTGTCTGGTTATATCAACTATATTTAAATTGAATTTGTGTGGCTCTTTGGAAACACAGCTTTTATTTTGCAAGACAAAAATACAAGCTTTCCCATTTTTAATTACTGAGCAAAGAAAGGTTCACACAAATAGTCTCAGTTATGTGCAGTTATTATATGCCAGCCATTCAGGTATATCTTTAAAAGGTAGGTACAGAAGCTGTTACTGGGGGAAAGGTCACAGAAAACTCGTTGCTGAGAACATGGGATCTAGAGCCTGCCTTGCGGGAAAACCTCATGCTCCTACAGTCAGGAGTCTGATCCTTTGCCCCCTTTATCCATAAGCGGGCAGAACAAAAGAACACCCTGTTTTTAGCCAACCTGGTTATTCAGACATTGAAATGCTTTTAAACTTGGTGGAAATTAGCTCTACCAGGCTTTCTGAGTCCCCTTTTCTACTTCCTCCAACCTCTGGCCCTTCTTGTTGGACCCTATTTGAAACCCAGCTTGCTGAGTGAACTCCAAATTCTGGTGACCTCAGAGGCATCAGAGTAGAATTGTCTCGTAGGGATTTTCTTGACAGCTTCTTCAGAAATGGATCACCAAGCCTTTCCTCCAGGTGCTTCTGCATAGATTTACACGGTCAGTGTTTGGGTTACTAGTTAGGCATATTGTCTGTACTGCCCACAAAATCTATAGATTGCTACACACCCGATGCTTCTGGGCCTCACGAGCCTCTCTCTGGTGCTGTGGCCCACATCCCTCTGCAGTTGGAAAATGGCCATGTTGTACAGGTTATGAGATACCTTGACTACCACCCCTCCCAAAACCTTCATCCTGTGTTATGATTACGGAAATCACCCCAAGGTTATCCCCGTGACCACTTTCTCTTTGACAGCTGACGTTGGCAGGCTTGCCCTGGAGTCCTCGGAGTAGCGCTTTCTTCTGTCCCTCTCCTTTGTTACTTGTGTGTGTTTGAGACGTGAGGGTGGGGACTGTGGTATGTCCCACCCCAAGCCCTGCAGCTGCTTGAGAAAGAGTGAGAACCAACTGCAAGAGAAGATGTGCTGCTCCGCTTTCTGCCAGGAGAGGCCCACCCTCCTCTGGAATTCCTGGCAGTGGCAGCTACAAAAGAAGGCTTTGCTGCCACCTGCTTCGGCAGAAGCTCTGAGCAGCTGCAGGGCCCTGGCATTCCAGGCCCTACCCCTGCCACCTCATGATCCCCTCGGGTCCAGAGGACTGACATGGGCTGAATTAGGGGCATGGGGGTGGGCGGGAGGCTGGGCCATGGACAGGGCCTGCTGTCGATCCTGAAATTTCTCATTCTTACTCTATCTGCCTTTTTTCAGTTCTTCTGACCAAAACTCAGTCTGAGCCCTCCCTGAGCTGTCCAGGTATCGTCAGTGAGCCTGAGCGTGCAGTGCTGCTCCCTGGGGCCCGAGGCTGCTCCCTGCATGGCTCTGGGTGGGATGATGCATGGAGAGGTTCCATGCGGATGAGGCCGGAAGGAGTGGAAGGGTGGCGGCCCTGCTTTGGAGTCATTTTGGTGCTGTGCTGGAGCAGGGTTTGGTTTGGTTTCTTGATGTGGTTGCCTAGTTCACCGAAAGGATAATAACCTAGTATGAGAATGTGCTGTGTTGTTCTGATTACTAAGAAATGACGAAGGATGTCATAGAGAACAGGCCCTTAAAAAATTATTGAGATAAAAGTCATATATTATCCACATCCATAGTTCACTCACACTAAACAGAGTCGTATATGCATCACTACAATCAGTTCCAGAACATTTCTTCTGATAGTCATTGTTGCTCCAAAGTGTCCTTGCCCCCCTGTCCCCACAAAGCCATCACACCAGTTACTGCTGCTATATATTTGACTATCCTGGGCATGATATATGGGAAAACATACAGCAAAACAAAGCAAAATAGCAAATATGTGTTTTTTTTAAATAAACAAATGAAAAACAAACAACAATATTAAAATAAACCAGAGGGGGAAAAAGAAAAATCAGGAAATATTAAAAACTAGAACAAATTTAAAACAGGTCAAAAGGGAGAGCAAATGGATAGGTAATAACATTTGCCATGGTCGAGTTTACAGATAACAGGCCTTTTTTTTATGTGCACCACAAAATTTCAGATTATAAAATGAGTGGTACATGTGGTAAAGATAGTTTGTCATTTTCACTTGTGCTTACTATTCTTGCCTGCTCCTGAGTCCCCTCTTACATGCTGCAGAATTTGGAGCAATATGAGTTTTGAAATTTAGCCTTTTCTTTTTTGTCGTGGACAAGCATGTAAATTGTCGGTACATGTTTTGCGTTTGCTTGAAACTTACTTCTTATAGTGTATACACACAAACGCAAACACACATGCATAGATACACACATTCCAAAGGGTCCATTAAAATCCCAATGAGTATTTATTTGCCTGTTACAGAAACTTATGTCCATGTTGGTTAAAATATTTAGCAGTATTTCTGGAAAACATAGCTAATGAAAGACAAA